CTCACCTATCTATCTATCTATCTATCTATCTATCTATCTATCTATCTATCTATCTATCTATCTATCTATCTATCTATCTATCTATCTATCTATCTATCATCTAATAGTTGCCCACTCTTACTGGTTAAGCACTGTTATTGCAGTGCAATATTAAGTAATAGCTGAAATAATAAGAGGCAGTAGAGAAAGAAAAGAAACATTGCCAAATTGTTGTCATTTATACCAATATTCATTTTGCATACCTCTCCATACCTCAATGTACATCTGTCATGCTGGTAATTTAGTTTGTGTTCATTCTGTTTATTCAGCATTGGTAACCCTTTTTTTCTTGTTTTACAACATATATCTTAGCTTGATTTTCAGTATTTTAATTTTTAGATTGGTGCATCTCGTTATCTGATTTATGTAATTACATTGCAAATCATTGACATACTAGAAACAACACAACAAGATCTTCGTGCAAAAATATATACAATGCACACAAACAACACATATTGATATCCAAAAATAACACTGTTCTAATGATAACACAAGCATTTCCTTATATAATTATTACCTAAAAAGCTAAGGAAAGATCATGCATCTATGTCTTAATTTCTGCTCACAGTTGAACCATTTGCTAAGCATTTTGTTTATTCTTATACATGCTTACATTCTATTGAGTAAATTGCTCTCACTTTACTCAGCAACAGACATTCAGCTCAATGTTCAGATATTTTCAGTACTTTCTTTGACTACATTCTTTGGGATTATGTTTTTGGGGGGCTATATACATTATTCAATATCTTTTTATTTTATTTTGTACGGCTTTTATTCTCTTAAACAGTTCCGTTTACCTCTTCCATACAGATTCCATATTTTTTGTTCTGAATCTTTTTTATACAGAAATTGTACTTCCTATGAACATTCTTTTTTTAAAAAAATTCATTTCTTTCCTTTTCTTCCACGCCTATTTTACTCAATATGTGCCATTGTCAAAATGAAAATGCGATCTGTATCATGGGCATGCTTAATTAATTTTAAAGTACTTTATGGCATAGTATCAGGTATATTTTGGTAACATCTTTCCAGAATTGAACCTGTTTATTCAAGCCACATATCTAGGGAGGCCCTGTTGAGAATAGCCCTGTCTTCACAAAAGCACATGGTGGCTGATCTAAGTGGCAGTTTTTTTCCATGATAGTAGAATAACAAAGCTGGCTGAGGAATTCTGGGAGTTGAAGTCCACAAGTCTTCAATTGGCCAAGGTTGGAGACCCCTGGTTCAGACTATTTGGAGATTGAAGCACACCATAAATAAACCTAGTTTTTTTGGGAAACCTCACATAGAATCACCACCATCATTTCTTTATCATTGGAATTAATACTGCTGCACCACTCAAAATCTTATCAGGTGAATCTCAGACAAAGAAATTCCTTCTTTCCACTCATCTGTGTCTTGTTGGTATGCACCAGTTTTTCTTACTGTTTCTTATTCTAGCCATGTTATTACAAATAGATCTGGAATCCACATCCAAATATCCATAGCGACTATATCCAGGGAATAGCCAGTGAGTTAGAAAAACAGACTGGCATCACACTGGTTATCTCTGTTCTTATATTCAATCCGGTGCCTCCTGTCATTTATTCCACAACCATTTTCATAATCACTTCTTGCTCTCTCAGATTCTTCCCCAATTACATAATTTTGACTAGAAAGTCCATAGGGCAACTTCAGCAAAACTCCAGTTGGTAAAGTAGCTGTCCAATTAAATCTGCTCTGCCAATCAGTCCTGCCTCCCTTCTTGAACTTACTGTATACTATTTGCTACACTCCATCCATTTTACCTCCTTCACCTATTGTTTTTCTTTTCTTCTTCCTAAGGATTTCTCAATAGGGCCACTGACTCCAGAGAGGAAGGAAATAGGATTTTTTCCAGCTACACTAAAAGCATTTGAAAAGTCTTTTCATTTATCCAAAAACTTTACCAACAATGGATACGTTTCTCTTTCTGTTTTACTTTTTAATTGAGGTTCTTTATTTCATGTTCTTTATTGTTTGCTACTGTTAAATTCCAAGTCACTGTCTTCCATCTGCCGTGGTTATCTCTTAACATGGGCCATAGAAATTGTTCTACATAACTCATCATGACTCTAATCAGATATGTAGTTCTTGTATGAAAACAGTAATTGGGAAAGGAATTTCTGTTGTGCAGTTATCTGGATATCACATTACCATGGTGCTTAGTCATGCAATTTGAGCTGTCCCTGGCCAATATCATTGCAGGGACCTTACTTAACTTCCATCTTCCTCCCCTATTGACTTCACTTGGAAGCTGGCAAGTAAGGTCACAAATCACAATTACATGACTGCAGGTTCACTGTGATGGCCAGAACTTCAAGAACTGGCCATGAGTACCACTTGTTCAGCACTGTTAAAGTTTGAACAGTTGCTAAACCAGTGGTCATTAAGTAAGGATTACCTATATACTCATCTTAATTGCACATGTGTTACATACAGCGTTCCCTGATACATGTAAAGACATTATTTTTCTCTTTTGACACATTTTCACCAATATGCCACAGTGCAACCAAATTCTAGTTTTAACCCCAAAAATGTTGTTTCCACTATACTATGTTCCTCCTTTTTCTAATTGGAGGCTAATGTCAAGGCTGCTTCACTTAATAACCAAGAAAGAAACCACTCAATTCCATTTTGGCAGAATTAAGAGTACTTTTACTGATTATAAGTAAATAGAAGCTAAGCAAAGCTGGATCTGAGCAAAAGCGTGCGCAAGCAGTAGATATCAATACATGACCCATTCCCCTCCCCTTGGTAACCCCAGTCCATAGTCCAATCCAATATCTCCACAGCTGTCAGATGGGAGACATCTTCAAAAATCATCATCAGGTTGGTATGCCGGACAATTGGCCTTGGCGGGAAACTCCCTCCTTGCCACATGCACAGTAGATGGTAAGAATAACTCCCAATTAACAGTCCTCCGGTACAGATTAATTCCCACATCCAAATACCATGCCCTCCCTCCTCGTTTCAATGGCAGCCGAAAAGCAAGCAGCAAAACAGAGGCTGACAGCTAATTTGCAAGCTAGATATTGTTGCCTGCATATATTGTACATGGTGCTACATACAATATAAGAATACACAAATCAGGATATAATCCGTTATCTTCATTAACAGTATTGCTTTTAATTAAAGTAAAAAATGTTTTCACCTCAGAATGGTATAAAATAATTGTTAGCATTTACTAAAAACATTTTTGAGGGGAAAAAAAACCCCAAAGCTTTTTTGTTTTTCTGTTAATATTTTTTTGAATAATTGTTTGAAATGTTAGGTACTTCCATCTATCAAATAAGGTTTATTATTTTAAGAAAAGACAAAAAATGCACAAACTCATCCTGAATAATTTCAAAAGTTTAATGGTTGAAGGAAATGTAATTTTATTTTTTTCATTTTGAAGTAGCTATCATCATAATGCTGGTTGTTTTTGTTTCTTTTTGTTTTTGAAAAGTGTATCTGATCATGCTAAGAAAAATCTTATGACTGTGGCAAATTTAGGAGTTGTATTTGGACCAACATTAATGAGGCCACAAGAAGAAACAGTGGCTGGTCTTATGGATCTGAAATTTCAGAATATTGTGGTAGAGATCCTAATTGAAAACCATGAAAAGGTAAGTATGGGAAGAGGAAAAGAGATTTGATATCAAATTCCTGTGAGATAATTTATGATTTTCTCAACTTCCTTACTTCCATAACATAGGAAGCAGAACCATGTTAATTTTAATAGATTTTCAGCATTTGTAAGGAAGAAGTGACATTTTCAGCCTTTGTAAAAATTATGAAATTCAGTTTGACCTTTAAATCTTCCCCGTTCATTCCCCTGTGAAAAACATTGCAATGAAATTCCACTCTCTATAAAAAGATGCTGATGGTTCTTATTTCTTCATATAGCTAGATTGGCAGAATATCTACATTCTGTTTTGTAGAAAAATGCAAAATCTGTATGGAAAGGAAAGGAGATGGACTATACTATCAGTGTCTAATAAAGAGGATGGCTTTTTGATTAGGGGAATCTTTTTCTGCATTGCTTCCTTGTGAGATATACTCCGCATAACAATTGTTTTGTTGTTTTGTTAATAAGTTTATTAATAAAATCTCTAGTCTGCAGTTAAAGCAGTTATACTAGCCTGCCTAATGACTACTGTATTCTCAAATCTGCAATTTTTTTTTTCCTGTTGGACTTTAAAATAGATCATCCTTTTATCCGCCTGTGACTTTCTAGTATCTCTGTCATTTATCTCTCTGGCCCCCAATATTAACTCTTCAGCTTATCTGCAAATAGTACCTATTAGTACCTATTAGAATTTTTCAAATATTTAGAGTCCCCCCCCCCCTTGGAATATATTTCAGTAAAGATTTGGTGCAGTAAACACCTGGCAGTTCAAAGTTTGGCAGATGTGAAAATAAAAACTCCTGAAAAAGTTGAAACTTGTTTTCAAAATAGTTGTCCTGTTGCAAAGTTGTCTCAGAATGCAAAACAATAATTAACTCCTGTGAAATTCATAGTAAATGAAATATTAACTGAATCTTGATAGATTCATCAAGGCATGATACGAACAATTCAGTCATAAATTGATAATATTCATGAATCACTGATTTTGGACAATGGTAAGAATAGCATCATTCATTTACCCATGAGTTTATTAGCATAGGCTTAATAAACAAATGTTTCTAAGTGCCTTCATTGCACCCTTCATTTCCACATTATTTATTTATAGATTGAATAAATGGGAGAAAACCAAATTTTTCATTGGTTTAAGGTTTTATATTGCTTTTTAACTTTTATGTTTAAAGTTGCAGTCTCAATTTTTTAACCTCTATTCTAAAAAATAAAGATGCACAGAAAAAAGAATGAAAACATATGGGTTTGCTTCTATAGCCATATCTTTATACTTCATCAAGGTTCTGAGAAGTATAACTTATATGTATTAATGTCTTTAAATCATTTTATGTTTCTACTGTTGCTTCTGCACTTGCCAGAAAGTGTCAGCTTGTTCAGTTGACTCCTCTCTCCCACACACACAGTCCTGCTGCTTTCCAGACTGGCAAAAAGCTTGCTTTCAGTACAGTGGAAACTACTCGATTCATTCTAGTCAGACTAGCAGACAGATGTCTATGGAAGCATCACATCAAGGGAGGCTTAAAATGTTTCACTTGTAACAATTTATTTTAATTTCCTACATGCATGTAATAACAGAGAGGTGGCAGTAGAAGCAAATGTATTTTCCACTGGTCTTATTTATTGTAGTAAAGAAATTCTCCTTTTTCTTGGTAGTCTAAACCAATCCTTCCTTCCTTCCTTCCCTCCCTCCCTCCCTCCCGTGGCATAAAGTTAATGATAGTATTTATAACTATTTTTTACTATTGTAAATATAATACCTTACATACATTAAGTGCTGCCTTAAATTCCCCATACTCAATATTGAAATTCAAAGTTGTGATTTAATCTAATCTAGATTACCTACAATTATTATGGCTGCCATGATGGATGGGAAGTGGTTTTTCTTGTATGTTTTTATTATATGATATAAACCATTTGGACTCACCCATTTGTGAGTTGGGATGCTATATAAACTCAATAAATAAATACATACATATACATGCACGAATGCACACATGTGAGAAAAGTTCATCCAACATTCTTATTTTTAATCCCATTGCCATATTGTTTTTGAGAATTTCAATAATATATTTGTGATTAAGAATTATAGTATGGGATATCACACTGATGTGCATACTACAGTTTTTATATATTCGGTAAAGTTTATCAAACAAACAATTTGTACTTGTTCTAGAAGAGTTAATGTGGCTTTATGAATATGAATGCATATATTATATTCTGTTAAATTACATTGCTTTAATTTCTACATATGTAGAATTTTAAATATTTAAATTAAATTAATAATCCACAATGTTCAGGATACAAAGTGAAGTTGATTCAAAAATGGCTATTTCTTCAAGGTGTTAGTTGATGTTGATTTTTCCTGAATTTGTATTTTTTCATCCATGTACTATGAATTACTCTGCATTTTGGATGATACTGGTACTTAAAAGAATTTAATATTTAAGCCAAGTAGAATACATGAAACCAGAACTGGGGGTGGGGAAAGGGAAGAAAAAAAGAGGGTAAAATGATTAATTATTTCATTTAGTAGAATATTTCTATTTCTGTTATACGTGGCAGTAATTATGTATTCCTTTTGTCCAACTCTTTTTGTGAAAAGCACATCAAGCAGATTTTCCATATGCTTTTTATATTGGACAGTGTTTCTTTATAAAATAAAGACCATACTGTAAAGCATGATTTTTATATCTTCATCATGTGGTTTAAATAAAATATGTTACAGTAGAATGCAGAGTCAAACTTAAAAGCTAAAAGCCTAGTTAAGTAGTTTTAGAATGGTTCATCTGTTAAACCAATAATCGCTTTTATAAAAGAGCTTTATGTCATCCATATGTTTTAGCAGATTTATTTACATATTCTTAAAATAACTATGTGCAAAATAGTGCTCTTTTTTCCACAATTAAGGTAACCTAAGAAGAGAAAATTTGCTCAGTAACACTGAGTAATACTTACCTATTTTTAAAAAAATCTTATTTAAAATTGTATGTCAGATCAGTAAAATATATTCATAACACAAGTTCTACTTGTATGTTTAGTTTTGCCCCAAATATGCCTGAAAATCATTTGTAACCTAAATATCAATCATTAAACATAATACAGGCTAGACAATTTTCATAAATGGTTGACCTAAAGCAGGGGTGTCAAACTCGCAGCCGATGGGCAGCATGCATCACACGCTGGCACCCCCATACCTAATTTAGCAAAGGGGGGAAAACTCATTGTATGTCACGTGACAATGCCATAATGATGCGGGTTTCACACTCCTGATCTAAAGAAACAGCATTTTTAATATGCACTTCCTTATTATTATTATTATTTTTCTTATAAGTTCTAATATATTTACTATTGAAGGCAATGATGGTGCTATTTTCTTTATTAAAAAAATCAGACCTGTGAAATTTCATGATGGTCTATGAAATCTAAAAAGCACTCAAAATAAACTAGGATGAAAAATTTAGAAGGTGTTTAAATTAGTTTGAAATCGCCCTGTCCTAGAATATTAATGACCATTCTTTTCTTCTCAAACATGATTAGATTAATTGTAAATCAGTTGAATTTTGAATTTGAACTGATTTTTTTTCCTAAATGAATTAGAAGGTTTTTTTTTCTCTACAATAATTCTCAATAATATGTACCAAGTCAAATCCCTCATGTTCCCTTATCCCTTTGAATATTTGATAATTAATGGATTATTTTATTTTGAACTGACTTGATTTGCTATGAAAAAAAGAGCTACAGGAACATCAAAATACTCTAAAGAAAAGAATGAATATTCATACCTGAAAGAGACCAATGACTAAAATTACTGCAACACAAAAGTCCTGGTCTCTTTTCCAGTTGGCTGTTAAATTAGTAGTCAGCCAGCAGGGTCAATAGGCGTGAAAAACTTTGTGGCTTTCTCTTCTGTTCCAACAACTCTTCTCAAGATGTTTTGAAATGGAGTGGTCTAAGTTTCACATCCTTGTTCAGCAAACCTGTGGTCTCTGAGTATTGCAGCTAGGGAAGGTTCTGTCAGAATTTGTACAGCTAAGGAAGAATTTTCAGTAGGACATCCACCCCGGCATATGTTCCTGGATGCAGTTCTTATCCGTTAAACATTGCAATAACAGCATTGTTAGGAATCTCTGTGCTCTTCAGAACAACGCCAACAAATTTTCTTATTTTATTGGTCTATCTTCATTTCTTTAGTTTGGCTGTGTATTTTTCTATAGTTGAAAAGAAGACTGTCTTCTGACATTATAGGCCGTTTGGGTAATGATTCTTCCTACTAATTAGTAGAGCATATGTTCCCCATTTTTTTCCAAAGTCCACAAATTACAGAATTAAGTTGCCTTCCAAGTATGAACATTCTGTTTGTCTAATATGCCTGAGAGAGGTCCATGTCCCCGAAAATTGATCTTATTGTTCACCTGCCTACAGTGCACTTCTGTCATAGAAACTGATTCCACAAAAAAGTAGTTCAGTTCTAGGAAATTAGTATTCATTTTGCTGTACTGTATTTTGCCGTACTGTATTTTGCCTTTTCTGTCGATTTAATAAAGGATGCAATTAAAATAAACATATATTTCCCCCATTTTTATCTGTTTTAGTCATTTAAAATTCTTGAAAAAGCTGTGGTTAACAACTGTGTGCCGATGTTGCCCCAAAGTATACTTTACATTTCTTGGAAAAGTAGATTTTCCATGTTGAAAAAAAACTTTTTTTCAACATGCTTTTTTTCTCCTTTATATTATTAATAATAGTAGGGAATACCAAGAATTTAATTTTTCTGTTAATGTTGTTTGGGCCTTAGGCAGCATGGAGTGGTCTCAGTTAAAATGTATGAATAGGACTACTCTTGAGAATATTTGAATCAAGAATTGTCAAATGTTCTATATAATTATTGTATATTTCAAATTCCTTTTGCGCTTTTGATGATTTCTTGATGTTGATGCTAATGGACAGGTAAGAATTCTATCTATGAGACTATAAGAAGAAAAAGGATGCTTTGGGCTTTATTAGGGTGAGTCCCCTGTTCCTTAAAGTTTAGTTTCCATACATTTTAGCACTTCTATGGAGAGGTTTTTTTCTCTATAAAAAAGCTATAGTGTTACAAATTGCTTCAGTTACGACTACTGCAATGGCTGCTCAGATTGTTTCAGAGCAAACCTGATGTGTTTATTTTTATCTTCAATGTTTTAAAGTCAGATATTGTATGATATTGCTATGATGCTCTTGGGAACCATGGCATAGACCTTTAGAGTAGCTAATCTTGTACTATTCTTCCATTTAACAAGGCAGTAGCTCCTTTGAACTATTCTTACAAGAGTTATTTTGGATTTGCAATGTCACTGCTTTGCAATTCTATCTATCTATCTATCTATCTATCTATCTATCTATCTATCTATCTATCTATCTATCTATCTATCTATCTATCTATCTATCTATCTATCTATCTATCTATCTATCATGTATTAATTTTTTACCACTTTAAGCAAGTTGTTATAGTTAAGTATAAAGGTTTTTCGCCATTCTATTTCCTATTGTTACAACAGTGTAATGCAGTTTTCAATACTTTGCATATTTATTATTATTTATGGAGATTTTATGTCATCCAGGTTATGGTTGTCCAAAGGCCCTTTTTTTAAAGGCAGCTGTACTTTCTTGTTTCCTTTGAAGACATTTCACTCTCAATTGTACTTGTTCTAAGAAGAATTAATGTAGCTTTATGAATGCGAGTGCATAAGAAGTGAAATGTCTTCAAAGAAAAACAGTTGCCTCTTGAAAAAGCATCTTTGAGATATTTATTGTTATTTTCCTCATTTTGATTCCTTTTTGATGGTAATTCCATATGACCACTATAAAATGAGAATAGTACAATACACTTTACATGAGGCTACCTTTGAAGGCCATTCTAAAACTGCAGTTGTTGTAGACATCAGGCTACTTACTATCAAATGAAAACTTTCATAGTGATATAACACGTGCTATAGGCCCTGCAGAAGTTTTGGTACATTTATGGTGCAATTCAAAGCCAGCTTTTATTTAAGAAGCCTTTTATGGCTTGATTCCCAAGTATTTTCAGAATCACCATCTCTGAAATTGACCCCATCCAGTACATTTTATTTTATTCATTCTCCATTTGAGGGAGATTAGGCAGACCATTGTGGATAAACAGTGTATTTCAGTGGTCTCTGTTTAATAGAATAGCCCCTATCAATGTTTGACTAGCACTACTCTGTCAATTTTTTGAAACTGGTTAAAACTACTTTTTTTTAAAACTACGATAATGAACTGTCATCATAGGGGTAAGCAGAATACAATTACAGTCTTTTAAAACTCTATTTATTTTAATGTTAAGATGCTAAGTATTAGGAATACAAAAGTATACAAAATAAATAAGTAAATCTAATGCAACCTGTCAGAGAACAATTAACAATAAAAGAGTACAGAAAACTTACCTGGTTCATGTTGATTAAAAATGTCATATTCTCAGCAAAGAAGACAATTTTTATTTATTTACAATCCATACCAATATATATAAAATGATATTGCAATATATATAACAGTGATATAAAAATAATAAAATAAAGCTTAAACATAAAAGCTTGAAGTAATTAATAGTGTGATAGAAATATTAAGATAAAATCTGCAAGACATGGCTATTGTTAAAAAATAAGCTACCATGTTGCAATTGGAACCAGGAGTTCATCACTTACCAAAACAGTTGTAAAACAATGTGTCACATGACCACACTGTTTGACAACACAAATTCCAATACTAAATTGTGTCATTAAGTGAAAACATCACATGATCATTACTGTATCCCAACTACCCCATAGAAATGGTGATCATATGACTATGGATGCTGCAACCAACTTACATATGAGTGCTAGTTGTAGCTGCCACGTCTGAATGATCTCTGAACGATTATTAAGTAAGGAACATATGTAATAGCCAAAGTTGATTTCCTAGGATAAAATGGATAATCTATTCAGAGAAGTAATTTAGATTTCTAACAATGTTATTAGTTTGCCCACCATTTATTGCATAGTGGGCACTCTAGTTATGAATGTGGAATAGATTCAATTTCTATACGATAACATGCACCAATATGAATTTATTAGGGAATACTGATGTATTTACAAGTTGTTGCTCTTTTAATTTGATGATTTTGGTGAAGGTGGAGTATCTCCTATGTAAAGTGTGGGAAATATCTGGCAATGGAGCAGGAGAAAATTATTGAGCTGTAATGGAGGTGGTAAATTCTGGTTATGTGGGAATCTAGGTCTGTATCCTCCATTGAAGTCTAACTGAATTTATCAGGGGTGAGACTTAGATATTAGACATAAAGATTTAATTTTGGCAGTGGCCCTATCCGCAATTAGTGACTGGACCCATTTAACCAATGATAGAATATTGAATATCAAGGGACATGATCTGGTATATGGTTGGCATGCTTACTTGTTATTCAACAAAAAATTGGATAAGAACTTTAAAACTCATATCTTAAGAAATGCTTTATTGCATTTCTGGAAAAAATATCAACATAAACTAAATGATAAGTTTACCCATGTGGGCAATTCCTAGACATGCAATTGAAAATATGAATATAGAACAAAAACACGATAGAACTACCTACAGACAACTTCTCACTTTAGAAAGGGGGGGGTTCTACAATTAAAATCTTTAGAGGTACTAAAAGAGGAGAAGGTAGTTCAAACATG